TGCTTCAAGAAACATTTTGTAGCAAGATAAAAACAAACACGTATTAACTTTAAAACTTTTACTTTTAAAAGCGTAGTTTGCAGTATAAACTTTATACACTTACATAATGATTCATTTGACAGCAAAGTCATTAAAAAACTCAATATTCAATTTGTTTTATAAAAAACACCCCAACAAAGTCAGAAAAAATGGCATAATTATAACAATTTTGGCTTCAAAATAAAGCCAGGTGAAATGCGTATCAAGATGTAAAAATTACAAAACAAAAAATGTTGAGGTACAGTTTGTAGTAGCCACTGTAATAATAACAATAATAATTTACTTACAGTATTGGTAGAGTAAAAAAAAACTTACATTCACAGCCTCCTCATTTCTTACTCACAGCTTTGGCATACCAAGTGGGTGAGTGGAAGGTTTTGCTTGACAAAAAGCAACATTTCTGCTGTTCTGCACATCAGTGGGTTCCTCTTTTCATCCACAACATGTGAAGCTGCACTGAACAGCCGTTCACTCTCAACACTGCTGTGGGTGGCAGAGAGAAATTTCTGTGCAGCTTCAGCCAAAATGTGAAATCGGTCTTTCCCATGGCCACAGCTAAGTATTTGGAGCAACTGGCACTGGCAGTAGCAGTGAAGGTTAAACTGGTGGCAGGGAGGACCTTGAAGCTGTGTATGTGGGCAGGACTTGGAATGGAGCAGGAATATATTCTAGTGGCTTTTCTTCCTTCCTTCTGCCAGAGCAGCAGGTTCTGGATGCACAGCCTCCTTCTTGCAAATCCAGGAGTACGGTTCCTCACAAGAAACGCATTTGGTTTCTACTTTAGAGAGAAGCACACAGCACCCTAAGGTATTCTCTTGGACTACTACAAACCTAAGATGGAGAGATACATATTATTGCCTGCCAGTCCCACCTCCAGTCCTCAGCAGTGGTGCTCCTTATGGGATAAGCTGATGGGCTGGCATTTGAAGTATACAGTATGTCATGTCTAAAGCAGTTTGTGAATTAATCTATTGTTCATGAAGCTTAGGTTCAAGCGCTGGCAACACTTCAAGAGAGTGGATCATCTATCTCTGTCACAGCTCTGCCAGCATCTATTTACAACAAAACATTCATGACCTGCAGAACCCCTGGCTCTGCTTGCCCATGGCTCCTTCCCAACAACCCTCTCAATGTGCCTTGCTCCCCCCCTCTCACAGACCAGAGATTGCACTTTCCTTCCCTTGTCTAGCACTAAGGAATAATAGAAGGAAAAATACTAAAAACCACTATGGGAGAGACACCAGATACAGCAAAGTGCGCCTCCTGGCTGAAGGAAATATCATGTGCCTTTCCCCACTCGGGTATATAGAAAGGATCCTCTCTCTTCCCTGGCCCATCTCTTCCCTGTGGTAGACTCTCTCTCTATTGCTGTTTAGGGCCATGTATCTGCACATTTCTCATCGGAGGGCTATGACATGAAGCACCATTATTCAACCCACTGTTGGTGGAAAGTGCACTAGTAGCTCAAATAAAAGCAAATCCTTCCTCATGACACAAGGGACTTACAGGTCTTTGAAGAGAGCTGTGCCATCCTCCCACAGCCAGGACTCATTGCCTGCCTGACGAGATAGTCCAATCCAGTGGGGAACATGTAATACTGATTTGAAGAACTCCTGAATGGGAATAAAGGCAATTCAGTTCAGCTCACCCCACCCTTTGAACCTTTTCTTCCACTAGTGTGTGTATTTAGAAGCCCACTGTGGCTAAGGAGTGTTTTTGTTGAAACTTAGTTTTTTTTCTCCTCTTAGTTCAACTTCAACTCATCTTTCCAAATGAGGGCACTGCCTGGGGTTACCTTCAGATCCTGTCACTGCTTCTTCTGAGTGAGAGGCAGGATTTGTTGTCCAGAGATATGAGGTATTCTTTCTTGGGTTGTTATCTGTCAGCTCTGTGTTCTTGGGGAACCCTAGCACAGTACGCAGCCTCACTCCCCTCCGCCTGAACAAGAACTGATTAGAGGAAGGACTTACAAAAGACAATGAAGATGCAGTGGGAAATGCACCTAAACCCCTCCAGACAAGTATGATAAGAGTGAAGCAACTCCCCTGGTCTCATTTGCATCAGAGATGGAACCAGATGACAACTCATTTACATGGGAGATGGGACAGGAAAGCACCTCCATTAGCATTCAGGTTGGAGAACAGAGATTCCAAGGCAAGAACCACACTGACTCTGGGACCAGAGAAGCAGGGGAGCATCGCATGATTGGGGATCCCTGCTCCAAATGCTAATCAACCTACATCTGCACACACCCAGCTCAGCAGTTATCAGACCAATTTTAGTAATGACTCATTTATTGGTACCCAAAGTACTGAATCTGCTTGTCTGTATTGTGAGCTCCCTCAGAGTAATGCCACCCATGGCCAGGAGTGATCAGTTCCTATTTTCCAGCATATGAGCCATCCTTTACCCATAAACAAACCTAATGTTCTCCCTTGAGCAATTGCTAGTTCTCTACAAAAACCCCTACCCAAGCTCAAGTTTCCTTCCTGGTGCTTGGATCCAAAAGCTGCACCAATTCCACTCCTTTTCTACCTGGAATCCCTTCGTCAACCGTGGTAGGAATCTGTCTGTCTGCAAGCTCCAGCAAACACCTGGGAACCTCGACTGGTTCAAGCTTCACTGAGTGGCGAGACCCCAACTCTCTCTGACTCCAGGAACCTGACTGTTGCTTTCTTACTTCAGGCACAGCTTTCTAAATCTGACTTGTTGATCAAACTTGAGCTAGACTTCCCCAAATACCTAATTGAAACTATGTAATAATATAACTGTTTTATTTGTCTCTCTTGTATGGCTGTTACTACCGGTATCATCATAAGTTCATATACCTGGCAATAAATAACTTTTATGGTCAAGCTGATTGCTATATTCTCTCTCTGAACCTTCCCCTTGACCTCCCCATTTGCCCTGCAGCAACGCTTCTTTTACCTAAGCCAAAGATCCCTGTAATGCCCAAAACTACGGTGGGGTCTGCTCATCAAGAGAGTTACTACTAGGACTATTGTTACAAGATATTGGGATGTGCCGAGTTTTGAGGTGGATGAGGGTATCAACTGAAAGCACTAATCGGACCCAACCTGCCCAGACGTACTCTGTTAGCGTGTGCGTATGTGTGTCTAACTGCATTTATTATTGTCCTGCTGAAATAATGCTGAAGTAAGGGATGAATTGAGTTCAAGGCACATGAGGGTGTCAGCCTATCAATGTTGAATAACCTGGCCTGATTTAGATGCACTCTCTTAACCCATGTGCTTGTGTCTGACTGCATTTTATTGTTGCTCTGATGAACTGAGGTCAGGTATATGTGGCCATGCTATATTTTTTAAACTGACCTTCAGAGCAGGGTTTCAACAGTGTCCAGTAAGAAGACATGATGCCATCTATTGATAACTCAAGATAAAACAAATACTGTATAGCTGTTCATCAAATGAATGCCATTCATTGTGCACAGTGAAGGAGGGCAGTTGGCAAAAAATGGAATGTGATCATAGAGATAACATCTGTACCATACTGTGTACTCTCAGGCAACAGAGAATAAAGGTTGTTGAGACCATCATTCTGGTATTTCTTGACTTTTGAATGCTTGATTTGGAAATCTTAATATAGTTTTTATGTTAAAATTCAGTATGTGCTATATTTTTTGCTATTTTGAGAGGAAACCTCTTAGCATAGTGACAGATATTTAAACAGAAAAATGTAATGAGGAGGAGTTTAAGGTTTGAACTGATGAAGCAATAATCTGACATCAGATCTATCTCTACTGCTGAACATGAGAACTACATTTGTGAATTGGTTGCAAAGAGTTTGCTACCCTTTAGAGCCTGGCTAATTTATTCTAATGTGCAGGAACATCCTTTTTTGGGCCATTCCTAGGTGAAGAATTTCTTGCCAAGTTTGCTGTGGTATGAAAAGCCATAAGAGAAGGGACAATATTTGGCCCTTTTATTAACAGTAGTTTTCTTCCCAGATAACCTTGAAACCAACAATAGAGGGTACCAAACCCCAGAAAACTGAACAGTAGGTTTGGAGGGAACCAGTAACTGATTTCCTTAGACCTTAGGAAGGAAAAACATAAAGATTTTTCCCCATGTTCACATGCAGGCTATGGAAAAGGAATCTATGCTATTGGGATTCACCCAAAGAACCACGCTGCTAACCCACTCCCAGTCCTTGGGTGAGCTATTCCTGATCTGCTGCCACCATGGTGGGCGGAATCTGGCTACATCCTGAAAGAGGGCATTGCCAAACGTTTGCACTGCAGCCCCAGCCACAAACTGAGGCCAGTTCTGGGGAGCAAAGGCAAAGTGCTCACCAGTTCTTCCTTATTTTTGATGTCAAGGAGTTTGGAGTCCAAAGAAGTACAATAATCTTTACTCTCTTGCCAGGATTTCCAGTCATTAGTGAAGAGGTAACAGAAGTGTCCATGTGGTTCCCATTTCTCTGGACATGAACTGGTTTTATCCCCTTGAAAAGAAAACACATGTATCATATTTTGAGATATTTTATTTCTCTATGCTAATGTGAGCAACAGAATCCCAGATGGCTTGGACAGGTGTTATTTCATGGCTTGTACATGTGTCCCTTGTGTTAAATTGTATACAATTTGACATGCCTGCAGTGCACAACAAGCAGAGTTCACACCTGGGACAAACCCTGTTGGGGTGCATGGTTCCACGAGTGAGACCCAGGGAACATGTGCAGGTTCCAAGATTGTGGAGAGGTGGAAGACACATGCGATTCCAAGAGCTGCAGGGTGCATGGGTGCAGGGAGCACCAGTCTTACCCATGCTGGCAACTCTTAAACAGTCTCTGGCTGAGCTGCTGCTTATGGCACAGCCATGCACTCTATCTGCCCCTGCTGTTGCTCTTAAAGCAGCAAAAGCAGCAGCTGAAGACTGTTTTGGAATTCCTGGCATGGGTCAGCTGCTGGAGTACATAGCCTCCTGGGGTAGGGGGGGAATTCCAGTTCTCCTTCTAACTTGGTGCCTTGGTTGGGTGTCTGTCTCACCCACTCCAGTTGTGCTACAGCTTGGATCACACTCCTTCTTGCTGTCTTTTTGTTGTGCAGTCTTATGAGTAAGACAACAGTGTGTTACAGAAGCAAATGCTTGCAAGGACTTACAGGGACAAGGGCAGTGCGAAACAGAATTGTGCTTAGTGCTTAAGTCCACTTAGATACCTGATGCATAGAAAATAATCTGGTCTTGTATCTGTTAGGCAAATTTGTAATTAGTTAATTATAGTTTTGCTCCCTATGGTATTTTTTATTATTTGAATTTTATCCAGCTGTTATTCAGTTGTCCTGCTGAGGTGGGCAACATGGCTATTCACTGACTTTCAGGTAAATCCCTGTCTTCCGAGCTAATATTGTGATGTGATGACACTAAGTAAAGATCTCCATGTGCTATTCTTTAATTTGTTTCTCATCTTGGTCCCCACATAGAAGCAGCAGCACAAGACAGGTGTGGGGAGCTCTAATACATCCTTTCCTACTTGGTGCAGAGTAGCTGAGTAAAATGAACAAAGGTTGTATATTTTCTTGCTTAAACCTTTGAGGAAGCAGTAAATGAGAGAGGATGAGATGCAGGGTGACCACCTAATTGGGTGGGACAGTGCCAGAATTGGAACCTCAAGTCCTGGTCCTGGGCTGCATGACTCCGAGGCAGCATTTGTCTTGGATTTGCAGAGTCATGCACAGATCAGTAGAGAAAAGGCAGGTTTCCCCTTGTAGGCTGACAGCATTCCAGTCTGCAAGGGGCTATTTGGGGCTGCAGGGAGCTCCATGTGCACATGTGTGCCCGCACACATGCACATGGCCGGAAATACAGCCGGTCAGCGTTGAGAGCTACTCCCTGCAGGTAAGTCTATGGGGGGGGGGGAGGAATGGGGGACAGATTGAGGCCCCCACTGTGAGGAAGGGAATGGGGCAGGGGCTGGGAGCACTGCCTAGCCAGGGTGATGCATGGGGCCAGGGCATGGAGCAGGATGGAGGTGCAGGCGGCTCATCCAGAGGGTATGAGGGGGGTGGCTCCTCGCCACTGCATGCACCCCCAGAAGGGTAGGGGGGGCACATGCCTCCCCAAATCTGTGTTTGGGGCAGGAGCGGATGTAAATTGCCTGCTGCAGCCTTGGGGCTCCCCACCCTGCTGCCCTCCCCCTGGGAATGCCATGACACCATGGCGAGGCACTCCCTGCCTGCCTGGCAGCACCGGGAGTGGCAGCATTGTCGAGTTGTGCCCCCACTGCTGCTGGGCTGGCGGGCGGCATGCGGCTGGCAATATTATGAGATACACTGATGCTATTAGAAATTTTGTATATCATTTTTTTAAAGAACCAGGAGGGAGCCAAGCAAGAGAGACATCAAATTCCACAAAAATATTTACCTCTGGTGGTGGTGTATGCTTTTTGATATCCAGTTATTTTCTGGTGCAGGGTAGAGCTTTCCTGATGGGTACAGTTTCCCTGGCTTCCATGTGGGTTGGAATCCTGGAAAACTTGTATTCACAAATAACAGGACAGTGGTTTGTGACAATTAAAATAAAACAAGTTGAAATACATTTTGCACGTGAAGGAAACTGAGCTGGAATCATGGTATTGCTCTATATCCTTGCAAAATTGATTTTTAACAGTGATTGCTTTTGTTATATTTTTCCAGTGTTCCTTTTACAAGTTCAGAAATTTTAACTCTTACTCCTTAATCTGAATGGAAAAACCTTCCTGGAATATTTATTAAAAAGTTATAAAATTGTTATAGCCTGATTTACCACGTCCGTATATTAGTACAATGTTAGTGAATGGACATTGACACTAAAATGGATTCATACATGGGTAAATAAGGGCCCTTACTCTTATTCCTGCAGAATGCTCACATAGGAAAACTAAGACTACTGCTGTTCCCAGTAGTATTAGGCAGAAGATCCCCAGAATTCCTGCAATGAGCCTCCAGGCAAAGGATGGAGCAGGAGAATCTGAGTGGGACACTCCGTCGGCCCCAAATGTTGTTCTTAAAGCAGCAGCAGCTGGGGACTGTTTTGCAATTTTTGGCATGGGTAAGCTGCTGGTGCGCAGTCCCTGCAGAGGTAGGGGGACTATTCCGATGCTCCTACTAAGTTGGTGCCTGGGGTGGGTGTCCCTCTCACCCACCCCTAATGCTGCAGCCTGCTTGTGACTGATTCCTGTGCTACCTGACTCCAAGGCCTCTTTGCTGAGCCATAACCGCTAGTTCAGAATCCAGGATTATGTATGTATAGTTAAGGTTACTTTTCCCCAGGTGCATTACCATGCACTTGTTGACGCTGATGTTCATCTGGCATTTTTTTGCCCAGTCAGTTAGGTTGGTGATATCTTCCTGCATTTCTTTTCTGTCAGCTTGGGATTTGACTACCCAGAATAATTTTGTATCATTCACAAACTTAAAGATTTCACTGTGCACACATATATCTAGATCATTGATGAAAATGTTATGAGCCAAGCAAGCAAAGATTGAGCCAAGCACAGAAAATTGATTGATTGGTTGATGAAAATAGAGCCAAGCACAGATCTCTGTTGGCCCAATTTGACTGCCCTCCATCCTGAAAAGTGACCATTTAGCCCTGTCCTTTGGTTCCTATCTTTTAACCAGATCTCAGTCCATGAAAAAAAAAACCCTCCAATCCCATGACAACGTCAATTTTAAAAAACCCTGTGGTGAGGGATTTTGTCAAAGCTTTTTGAAAGTCCAAATATATTATGTCAAGTGGATCTCTCTTTTCCACATGGTTATTAACACCCTCAAAGAACTTCAGCAGTATGGTGAAGCAGGATTTCTCTGTACAAAAACTATGTTGACTCTTCACCAGCATATTATATTTGCCCATGTGACTACTGATTCTGTTCTTTATTATAGAGTCTACCAACTTGCTGGGGATGAAAGAGAGACTTCCTGGTCTGTAGTTCCTAGGATCATTTTTGGAGTCTTTTTTGAATATGGGTGTTAAATTGGCAAGCTGCCAGTCCCCTGGCACAGAGGCCATTTATAATGATAGATTACATACTATTGCCAAGCAATGGCATACTCTGTATACATAGGTCTACCAATACTGTGAAATGAAATGGAGTTTTTAGAAGAGTGGTTATTTCAGAAGACTCACAATGGTCAGGTAGCTGACTTATGCCAGTTTTACATGATTGTGAACATGGTGGATTGAAATTATATACAACCAAATTAATGTTTGGGAGAATCAGGCTTCTGGAGACTCTCCTCCAATACCTACATTTGGCAGACAAAGCCCTTGTAGCTCCCACTAAAAGCAGGCAGAGGATCCCCAGTAGCACAGCAATGGTCTTCCAGGGAGAAGGTGGTGCAGGAGATGCTAAGGAGAAGAAAATGAACATGGAGATGGGCAAAATATCTGTGTCAGAGCCCAGTCTCTCTGGGCAGCACCTAACTGTGAGTGTGACCACTAGGGCTGAGTCCTATTTTCAGACCTCTGTGTATAGAATGGTTTGGATAGGGATCAATCTTCCTCAGGCAGAGGGTTGGACTAGATGACCTCTGGAGGTCCCTTTCAGGTCTACTTCTCTATGATTTCTATGACCATCCATCCTGATTTGGTCCCTGCTGCTTTCTCAGCAGCATTGAGCAAGATAGCAGGGGAATGAACATCTTTATTTTTCTGCTCCAAAAATCTGAACAGAGTCAATAGTTAGGGGAGGAGCTTTGAATGGCAGCAGTAAAAGAGTAAAACTTAACATCTTGTTAACACCCATGTGGTACCTTTGCTCTGGGAGTTCCTTGGTTTTTCTCTCATCTGCTGCATTGATGTACTTTGAGGTTTCGGGTCCATGCAAATCACTTCCTGTCCACTCATTTCTGGAGAGCTGAATCTGTGGACTTTGTTCTAGTGGATTGTAATAGATGATGTCATTTGATTAAAAAATGTGTCTGTAAGGAATATATGACACTAAGTGAGAACTACGAGGTCACTGCAATGGTTGATTTTACTATTCTGCCATCCCACCTTCCTTTTCCATTAATTTCCCCTCTGTTTAAATGTATACATAAACTGAAATTCTGTTTAGTTGCCTCTGAGGGTCACAGCAGTTGATGCTACAGTAAAACACCATTGGCTATTTACTGATTAAACTGAAAGTTTGTCAGGGCTGTGGAAGAAGGGAAAAATGGAGTTGAATCTCCATTATGTGTAAAAGTGCAAAACATATATTCAGCTTAGGCTATGAAAAAGTCAAAAGGACATGACCCGAAACTGCCAGACTAACACAGACAGACCATCCTGTCCTAGTCTAGTAAAAAACAAAAACTTAGCACAAAAGTAACCACAAACCAGCCTGCTGAGTCAGCCCAAAAAGGGAAGTGACACCTGAGGTTACAAGTCAGAAGACCCTTAAAATCTGCTAACAAAGATAAATTGATGCTAACAAGAATAAATTGAAGACATGCGCATTACTAACAAAGTCATGGCAAATGCTGATTGGTATATGTCGTTGCTATACTTATGATGTCATATTTTCTATATGAACTCGCCTCACCTGTTGTATGGGGTCAGACCTCTTCACAATTCTCCAAGTGTGTATAAGTCTGTCCAGAATGCATTCTCTAATAAACCAAGCTTCTGCTGACCTAAAGTTTGCTGCGTGTGTTTACCACGACAGGGCTATGACAGAATCTTGCAATGCGTTCATGCAGGTAGTTTAGGAGGTCTTTTCTGTCTCTGAGTTCTTTGTTTCATAAAGTAAATTGGTAATAATTAAACATATGTTGTGATCCCCTGGATTCTCTCCTAGTCAATGATACTGGGCACGTCTACACATGCCCCCATGGCGCAGTTGTTACTGTCATTAGTACTTCTTTTTGGAAGTACTAAATGACGGCACAATAACAGCCGTTGCTGCACCATACAAGCAGCACACAGTTATTTTTAGCTGCTACATCACCATACCAATGCACTATACCGAGGGAGCATGTTACTACGGCAACGTAGCAGTGTCATCACAGTTTGTGCCTGTCGACACTACGTCACCATAGTGCATTGCTATTGTGACATAGTGTCTCATGTATACATGCCCGCTAACCAGTATATAGAAAACTGCAATCCAGAGGGTTTATTGCTCTAAGAACATGTGTTTAGGCTATTGTAGGAATAACACTATTAGTTCCATAGTCTTTTAATTCTTACAGTAATATATTCACTTTCACTAATCTAGACCAGTCCCTTATTTATAGAGTCTATCGGGGCAGTGCAAGTTTGTTCTGTACATTGTTGGTATACCACTCAGGTTTGTTGAGCAACTTTATGTCAGTGGGCGAATCTACACAAGACACTGACTGTCCAGTAGCCTAATATTACTGCGCAGTAGTGTCTTGTGGCAAAAACTGTGCTAATACACTACTGCACAGTAGTATTAGGTGTATGCTGACGTTACTGTGCATTTATTTAGTACTTGATTATACAAATACTAAATAAATGTGCAGTAACCACTGCACAGTAGCGTCTCATGTAGGTGCGCCCAGTGAGTACTTTTGATCCCAGATGACATTAAGATGATTTGAGGGTACTCAGCATCTTGTAACATTAGGTCCTCTCTCCAGTCATCCTTTTCTTTTTAATATATCTCAAGTGATTTTGCTCCTGCCAGTTCCTTTCAGAAACTAGTGCATGGTCCCTCACTGGTAATAAATGTTTCTAGTATCTGTATTCCAACGCACTTGTATTTCATATTTTCATTAGTAGTAATAATGCAAACTAGATGCTGGGTTAATCCAATTTAGCTGTGTGATGGTCTCCAAACTGGGTGTTTTCCTCATTGGTAAGCATATTTAACTTTTGCCCATGTCCAATTTTTTTAAAATCCTTTAATATTTTATCGGTTATTTTGTTTTAGCTCTTTATTGTCAGCTTTCCTTTTCTTTGAATCCTCTCAAATTTCACAATGATTTTGGTATAAATAGATGTGTGTAAATACATTTACTGACATACCTTTATTCGAATTATTTCTGATAGACATACCTTTATTCAAATTATTTCTGATAGTTTCAGATATCTTTCTCTCCAGGTAGAGTAGCTTGCTTTTTGCTTAAACCAATTTTCATTTTATTTCTCACCAACATTTCTGATTTCTTTTAGATACTATTGCCCTGTCCTTAAAGACGTTTGCAACACTGTCGTATCTAATATTTCATTGTTTTGTAATTTGCCATTTCTTACTGATTATTAATCATTATCTTCTTTGATGCAATCTCACACAACGTATATGAGATTTGCCTTTCTAATGTTTATCCCTTGAAACATTTTCAGTGGAAACAACTTCATACAGAACAGCCCATGCAATTTACTTTTAGAATCATGTTTACTTGAAACTCTGCATCAAAAACTTTGCCACTATCTGTACACACTGAATTCATCACTATATTCCTTGCATCTCCTACCTCACTGCCAGAGTTAAACTTACAGGTTTTGCTTTGAAATTTGAAAAGAGCGAGTGATAGGCCAAATGTCTTCCCAAAAAACTGTACTTGTTCATGAACCCAGAAGTTTAGCCCAGACCCATCTCAGTGCCCAGCATATTATATCAAAGAAGATCAGAATGTTAAACCAAAGAAAGAGAATTCCTATATCACATGGTTAGTATTGAAAGTAAATATTTAAATGCATCATTGTTATGGCTTGTACTAAATGCTAAACCAAGAACTGCTATTTACACAGCCCATCTAAGAATTATCATCTTGCATATCTTGAATTAGAAAAGCAAATACATTTTCCCTATAGTAATATATTTTTTACAAATATATGCACACAGTAGTTTTGCTTGTACCTGTAGATAGTCAGGAAGAGGTTGGAGTGCTGAAATTGCTGTACCTTTAGATAGTCAGGAAGAGATGCTGAAATTGCTGTCTCTGTGGTGTGTCTGATCTCATCCTGTATTATAAATCTCCAAGGACACAGTCTGACATCACCCTCCTCTGACTGTCCTGAATCAACATAGGACAGCAGAAGTCAAGAGCAGAAGAAGTCTATGCTGTTTTTATGTTCTGGCTGTAAGCACACAGGAAGTTCATAAGCTAATTGGAGAACAGTTGTCCACAGCCTGTGTACTCAAAATAAAAGTGCTTTCATCTTTGAGTTAAAGGCATGTTGTCTAGATCTATGGCATTAAACTCACAATTTAGTGACAGCCATTTAAGTACTGAAGGTAAGGATGGTGTCTGTGACACACTGGACTTGTCTACATGAGATGCTTAGTGTACAGTAGACTAATTCTACTGCATATTAGTGTGCAATGGCAAAAGTCATGCTAATGTACTAATGAGCAGTAGAATTGGTCTACTGCGTATTAAGCATCAGAAGAAGACCATGTACCTTTGCTTCTGTGCAGTAGTGCCAACTACTGAGCATTTAGTATGTATCTCATATTAGAGGCACTAAACTTAAGGTGCAGAAGCAAAGGAGCATTAGTGCATGTGTACATGCACCCACTGAGCAGGACTCCAAACATTTTGCAAAACTGTATGAAGATGGGGTCTCAGTGTTTTCAAAACCATCTGTTGGTAGATGTAGATATGAAGCTCTAGGTTTTGGGATATTTAAAATAATGGCTGCAAAATTCACTAGGAAGATGTTGGAGGGAAAATTTCTAAACCATCTCTGGGACATGTATTAACACATTTGTGGTTTTCTTTCTACCTCCTATGAGTATATGATGAATAGGCTCAGAAGTAGCTGCTTCAGTGTCACCAGTGCCAGCAAAGCCATTGTTTATCACTAGTATTGCCAAGGCCAGCTCCACCTGCATATTCATTCCTGTTTCAGCAGAATGTGTGATGCCAGAGCCCAGGAGACTGGAAAGAATCCAGCCAAGACAAGTGGTTCCTTGAGAGATGACATTGTCATGGATAATCACTTGATTCAAGGATGATCTCTACCATGGATCATTGATGGGTCTTGAGGTGACTTGAGTCCAATCCTTGAGCCACGGATCCATTTACAGAAGTTGCATGTCTTTCCACAGAGGACAGTAGGCCGTAGGCTGGGATTTCTCTTCTTTTTCTTCTCTCGTCTTTTTCTACTCTCTCTCGTCTATACTTTGAGGGCAAGATGCTTCACCTCAAAGCAGGCTGCCACTTGCTCGAGGTTGGGCACCATTGGAGTTGGTTAGCTGCCAGCTCCTCCCAGCTCTTGATGTTGGCATTTGTTTTCATCAGATGTGTCTTTGTAGTGTTTCCTCTGGTTGCCACAAGATCTCAGGCCCCAGTTAAGCTGGGAGTAGAAACCTTGTTTTGGGAGCTGAGAGTTGGGCATCCACACACAATGAATGGTCCAATGACACTGAATCAACAATTTCCTTGAGGATCACCAACAAAATGCTGGTAACATTGGCTTTATCAAGGATGCTGGCATTTGTGCGGCCATATTCCCATTTGACATGGAGGGTATTCCAGAGGTATCATTCATAATAGGTCTCCAGGCTCTTGAGTTGATGACAGTCGGTCACTCATGGTTTATATCTGTAAAGAAGAGTGAGGATGATGACTGTATTGTAGACCTGGATTTTATGTCTTTCTGGAGTTCACAATGAACAAAGACACACCAAAGAAGTTTCCCAAAGGAGGTACTTGTGCACTGTATCCTGTGCTGGATCTCCTCATCAATATTAACTCTGAGAGATGTGGCTACTGAGGTAGGGGAAGTGCTCAAATATCTCCAGGGTCTTTCCTGGATAGTATTTTGTGGAGGGGGATCACATTCATGGTCCAGGCAGGCTGATAGAGCAATTTAGTCTTCTCAATTTTGAGAGAGAGGCTCAAAGTTTTGTAGACTTCTCTGAAAAGATCCAGCACAATCTGGAGGTTTTCCTCAGGATGCACAAGGATGGCATAGTCATTAGCATATTGAAGGTCAAGAATGGTTGTTTTGAGTATTTTCACCTTCGAGCGAAAACATCCCAGATTGAATACTAAATGGATGGAGGGCTCTTCGATGTCAATTCCAGAAAGAATGAAGTTTTTAGTCAGAACCAAGATGACTGTCAATAAAATGGAGAATAGAGTTGAGGCAATGCATCTTTGCTTGACCCCAGTTTGGATGACAAACAGATCTGTCTCTGATCCACTCATCAGAGTGGATCAGAGTGGATCACTCATCAGAGTGTGATCAGAGTGGATCAGAGAGACAGCCACAGTCATCTGGTCATGGAAAAGCCTCAGACCATGATGTACTTTTCTGGACATCCAAATCTGGCCAGTACTTTCCACAAAGCTTTGTAATTAATGTAAGCAAAGACCTTAGTGAGGTCAGTAAAAGGTCATATACAGGTTCTTATGTTACTCACGCTTTTCCTGGAGCTGGTGGACAATAGAGATAGTGCCAATTGTCACACAGGATGATCTGAAATCACACTGAGATTCCAGCAGGGCTTCTTCAGGAACAGGTAGAAGGTATTACAGGAGGTGTGTGTGAATATTTTTCCTGCTGTGGAAAGGAGAGTAATACCTCAATAGTTCCTACATACAGACTTGCCTCCTTTCTTGAAGACAGTCATGATATTGGCATTCCTCGGGTCCTCAAGGATCTCTTCATTGTTCCAAATGCACAGAATAAATTTGTGGAGTCTCAATGCCTGGTCCTCACCACCAGACTTGTAGTTTTCAGCAGGTATTCCATTTGGTCCAGTAGCCCTGTGGTTCTTGGTTTCCTTGATGGCACACCTGACTTCTTCTAGGATAGAAGGGTTGGTGAGGAATTCCTTTTCCGGGTGTTAGGGATAGATTCAGTGGTGTTATCCCATGGCCACAGTGGACTCATGGTTCAGGAGTGCCTCAGAGTGGTCTTTCCATCTTGCTTGCATAGATTCATTGTCTTAGAGAAGTATCAAGCTATCCTGTGATTGCAAGAAACTAGAAACATGGGAAATTGGGCCATAGGTTGCCTTTACTGCCTGGAAAAAGTTATGCGTGTCATGTCTGTCAGCATAGAGATGGATCTTGTTGGCTTTATATTACCACTACTGATTTTTGATTTCCTGGATCCTCCTTTGAGCTTAGGCATCTTTGAGATACATCAGATACATCTTTGAGATACATCTCAGATTCTGCTGAGATGAGGTGTCATTTTGCCAAGCAGAATGCATCCTTCTCTTCTGGTTGTGGAGGGCTTGGATCTCAGCATCACTCACATTAAACAAATTTTGGTGTCAATGGGTGGTATAATCAATGGATCCAGCACAGGCCATATGGACAGTGAGTTTAAACCCCTTCTACGGTTCCTTAGTGTAGCCTTCATTTAGAATAATATAATCATAGAAAATTAAGGTTGGAAGGGACCTCAGGAAGTCATCTAGGCCAACCCCCTGCTCAAAGCAGGACAACCCTCAACTATATCATTCCAGCCAAGGCTTTATCTAACCAGGTTTTAAAAGCATCCAAGGATGGAGATTTCACAACCTCTCTGGGTAACCTGTCCCAGTGTATTACTGCCTTCCTGGTGAGAGAGTTTTTCCTAATATCTAACCTAAACTTCCCTTGCTGCAACTGGAGACCACTGCTTCTTGTTCTGTCATCTGCCACCATTTGTGGACGGTATAGAGAGCTTTCCAGGGAGGCATTGTTGGAGCTCCTTACAGACCTTTAGATCTTGAAGAAATTTGGTGTTGATAGTCCTTTGCGTTGCTTTTTCCTGTTTCAAAGCAAGCTGGATGTTCATAATGGATCTGAAAAGATGGTGATCTGTCCAACAGTCATCATCAGCTCCTTGCATGGCTTGCATGATATAGACATACATTCAATCATGGGCTCTAACAATAACATAGTCACAGAGGTGCCAGTTCTTAGAACAAGTGTTTTTCCAGGTGGTCCCAGAGAGAGTGATCCCACTGGATGCAGTTATTCAGTCAGGAGCAGATAAGAAAACCTAGGTTTAAGGCACCTTTTCTAGCCCTTTCTCATTGTGGGGTGAGCAGAGGAGATCCTGAATAGGACTGCTCAATCACGGTAGCAGCTGCTGAATTTCACCTGTCTCACTCAGTCCAGGTACAAGATGATCATCAGACTACTGCCGCCTGCATGCGGATGCAGAGAGATTGCCAGGCTAGAGATTGCCAGGTTCACTAGAACTGTGTCTGTCATCACCCATCCATCACCGCAGGACTTTTGGAGGTTGTTATTTCCTGGAGAGCATGTTATTTCCTGCCTGTGACTTTGTTTAATGTGCGGAAGCTGGTGCACAGAAACAGCAATTATACAATCATGACCAGGTGGAGATCCCTAGATGACAAGAGACTTCCATCTTGCTGCAGCCTTCTTCCATTTTTTATAGCTGTTGAGATCCTGATATCTTCTTCTGCCTGATCCACCATTGAGGACTTAGGGTTTGGATTGTGGTTTGTCTGGAACCTCTCCTCAGGCCTGTTCCCCATAGGTGACTCTGCCAGGACTGCAAGACACTGGGTAACATAGCTCTGAGGTTCATTGGGACACACAAGCCTCTCCAATACTACAACGTCTCGGGCCACGGAGAGGAAAATGAACCACCAAATATGCACAAGACATACCATAATAGGTGCCATTTTTGTCCTCTGGGCTGAGAAGTGTAAGATGCTCAAATCTGGACCTGAGAGCTGAATTTTAGACTCCTTTTATTGAAATTTTTGGGAGCATCTCCAAGGAAAAGGCTTGGATGGAATACATCCTTTATCCGCCTTTTTCCTCATTCTGCTCTCAGCCCCACCAACACTATAAATTAGGATGATTCCCTGGCAGTCAGCAGAGAGTTCCTTCAGATAAAGGCAGTTTAAATGAGATCAGAATTTGGTCCCATTTTCCAGGGAATCAGAACTGTCAGAGATGGAAATTGAGTTCTTGTGTGTCAGAGCTGGGATATGGGAGGCCAGGCCTGAAGGCTGACTAGGGATTGGAGTAAGTGAATTGGAGAGCTGTAGTGTCATAGCTGGGTTTGCAGTACTATGGAATCAAG